GCAGTTGACTGTGTGCTTCGTTTAGACCCTGAGTTAGACCAGGGCGACACACCACCCCCACCTAAGGGTAATAGATCCCTAGCCTCAGAAATCTCTGGCATGTCTATGAGTCTTAAGGCTTTAAGTCTGCTTCTCTTCTCACAGGAGTCCAAAGAATTTTTGTCTCTTGGTTTCCCTTCCTCAAGCCTAGAGGCATCTAAGAGATGCACAGTCCTGGTAGAGAAACCCAGCTTCCACAGAATCATCAGATCAGGTCAGCAGCGGCCCAAGGGAACTTCTTGAGCCCAGTATCCTCTCTCCTCAGCCTGTGGTCCAAGTCTGATAGCGGAGATGCCCCTCTTGACATATTGCCTCATTTCTTTGAGCCACCAAGTCCCTAGCTCTCTGCAGAGTGCCAAGAAGAGTCCTAAAGGTCCAAGTGTTTTTGATAAAAGCCACACAGAGATTTTGGAAAATGAGCTCTCTGGCCAAGGGTGTACAGAAGTCAGGGGAAAGAGCCTGGCCCAGAATGCAACTTGGCAGGCACCTCAAGGGAAAGGGCCCACAGGACTGCTGGGCAGGGCGCAGGGCTCAAGTTGCCTGAGCTACTCTGAGGCCAGAGTCTGGGAGGAGCCAGGACCTCTTCCAGGAGTGGCATTTAACCCTTCCCTCTCAGAAGTCCGGACTTTCAACCCCTCTCCCTGGCAGGGCGTGAGTTCAGAGGGTCAAGGAGTCTTGATGTAGTCAGACTTCTTCATTCTGTAGATGGGGAGACTGAGGCCCAGGGTGAGGGAGTGGCTCTAGTCCCTGTAGAATGGGCCTGTTGTCAGGGAAGGCTCCTCAGAGGAAGGATAGGGAGGGAATAGGCGGTGGTGAGGAATGCAGGGAGCATGTGGGTAGTGAGAACCATGTGACCAGAGCTCTAATGCAGGAACACAGGGTGAGCTCAGAGTATGGAGCCCAGCCGTGCTGCAGTTCAGCTGGGTGATTCAATTTTAGGATTTGCCTCTCAGGGCTAGGCCCCTGGTCTGTGTCTTGTCCCCCCATTCCCCCCACTCCTAGCTGTGGCTGCTGAATCTGCTAACTCTCTTTAGCCCAAGGAGGTCCTTGTTCCAACCTTCGGAGAGGACTCTGGGAGCCACCCCAGGGGAAGGCAGCCAGCCAAGGAGGTGAAAATTGAGGAAGGCAGGCAGCTGTACTGAGCTGTCTCTGAGGCAGCAATCCGTTGGCAAGCCCACCTAGCCAGCCAGAATCAAGGAGCTGTTTACTTTCAGTTTTCAGCTCTTGTAAAAGTTTTGTTTCCATCAACTAAGTCTGTGTTTATGTTACTTAAAGGAACTGCTCTGGAAAAAAACAAAACTTCTTCCCTGAGGTTCACTGGGCAGAGGGCAGGGGAGTGGAGAGAGCTTGGCCAGGCCTGGGGGCATGCCTTGGGGAGGTACAGTACCTTACTTCTACTCTGCCTGGGGTGAGATCTGAGAACAGCAAGGTCTCATTTTGCTCTCTGCAGCAGGCATCAGCTCTACCTCTGTGTTTTGCTAGATGTACCTGGCCAGACCCTTGGTCACATCTGAATTTCATTTCACCTTCACAGTAGACCTGGGTAAGAAGGCCAAACAGAAGTTCTTAGCTCCCTTTGGTAACAAAGATACTGAGACCCAGAGGAAGAGTGTGTCTTGGCAAGTGGACAATTAGGCTTGGCCACAGATCATTTTTCCTTCCACTCCACCCCACTGCCTCCCCTCTGAGAAAGTCCCAGGAACACCCTGAAGCAGGGGTGAGTGGGGAAACCTGCACCCACCACCTTCCTGGGAGCAGGCCGTCTGTTCAAGGGGATCCATCTGGGGACTAGAGTGGAGAGAACCCAGAAAACAGTAACTTGGACCAGACCCACATTTCAGCCCAAAGAGGGTTGGTCCTTCCTGAGGAAGATTTTAGAGACACTATATCATAGGACCTGGCCAAAGAAGGACCCACCAGCTGGAAGCAGTTCCTGGGTGACAGAGCACCTCCTCTCCCATCATCTGCTCATGGAGCCCAGCCATGCTGCAGCTGGGCTGGGTGCTCAAATTTAGGATTTGCCCCTTAGGGCTAGGCCCCTGGTCTGGATTTCTTGTCCCCATTTGCCCCCTGCTCCTAGCTGTGGCTGCTGAACCTGCTACTGTCTAGCCCCAAGGAAGTCCTAATCCCAGCCTAGGGGAAGGCAGCCAGCCAAGGCGGTGAAAGTTGAGCAAGGCAGGCATCTGTACTGAACCTGAGGTCCTGCTCTTTTCCGGGCACCTGGGCTCTGGCAGGGGCATGCAAGGATTTCAGGGGAGCAGTCCGTACATGTAGGGGTGTCCTTGCTCTGAGCAGTTGCACCTCTGCCAAGCCCCTCCAAAGTTGTGTGTTTTGGAGTAACAGCTCTGATGAAGGAAGAACCTTTACTCCTAGTCAAGATGTTTTTTAGACCCTACTGAGGTCAACAAAAGCCAAATGCTGCTGAGTGTCTGTTCTCTGTCCTTCCACACCCCTGCCCTGCCTAGTATGCAGAGCCAAGCCCTGTCCCTGGGCCTGGGCCATACAGATAAGGCCCCCTAGGTTGCTGGGTCCAGGTATGCGTGCTGGGAAGTTGGCTGAACCAGCCACACTTGATTCAGCTCCAGGGCAGATGTTGGCCCAACCAGTCAGGTGCAGGCCTGTGTTCATGCTATTCCCTCCAGTGAAATGACCTCATCCTACCACCAGTTCTGCTGAAACTCTGGCCATCTCAGATCTCACCTCTGTGTGAAGCCTCCCCTGTCTATCCTGGCTGTTAAGAATTGCTCCTTTCTCCATGCTCCCGAGTTCTAAGCTTCATCTCTGTGATTGTTGGGTAGGTTGGCATCTGTCTTCTCCCCTCTAGCCTGAGCAGCCCTGTGGGGAAAGAAATCATGGCTACTTATTGTCCTTAAAAATTGATCGAATTGAGGGGCACCTGGGTGGCTCAGTCGGTTAAGCATCTGCCTTTGGCTGGGGTCATGATTCCGGGGTCCTAGGATCAAGCCCCACGTTGGGCTCCTTGCTCAGCGGGGAGCCTGCTTCTCCCTCTCCCTTTGCCCCTCCCCCCATCATGCGTGTGCATGCACTCCCTCTCTTTCTCAAAAAAATAAATATTTTTAAAATTTTATTTAAAAGAAATTGATCGGGTTGAGTAGATCTTAGGCTCTCTCCTGAAAGGCTTGATGAGTCACCAACAAAGGTCTTTGATGGTCATTTCATGAACTGAGGTACTTGGCCCTTCCAATGATGGAAAACAAGACCCACCAGAGCTTCTTAAAAACAGTGCTTCTCTTTTGGCAGATGAGGACAGAGAAGTTTGGTTTAGGATTTGAGATAGGGGACTATGCTCTCAGGCCTGTTTTCCCGTTTAGCTTATAGAACAAACATCTCTGTCGTCCCCTTTCACTGTAGCAGAGAAAGAAATGGAAAGTTAAGGTACAGCTGGTGACCCAGAAGATCTGTCTGCAGTGTAGCCAGGGGACTGGAAGGGGATTCAGTGTTACCTCTAAATCCTAAATAGTGGGGCGTCTGGGTGGCTCAGTCGTTAAGCGTCTGCCTTCGGCTCAGGTCACGATCCCAGGGTCCTGGGATCGAGCCCCACATCGGGCTCCCTACTCCACAGGAAGCCTGCTTCTCCCTCTCCCACTCCCCCTGCTTGTGTTCCCTCTCTCGCTGTGTCTCTCTCTCTCAAATAAATAAGTAAAATCTTAAAAATAAATAAATCCTAAATAGCTCACGAAACAACAGTCTTGGATATTGGGAGTACAGAGGGGTATATGGAGACTTAATGTGCTTGCCAAGCCCCTGAGAGGATTTGACCTAACCAAAGGCCTGGCACATGGTAGGCCAACAACCACTGGTTCTAGAATGAATGAATAAGATGTTTTCTGTAAGACGCAGTCTCTTCCCCACCCAATTTAAGCCTCTAGTCACCATGGCTTGGTCCCACCCTTTCACTGGTCTAGCAGCTACCAAGCTCCTATCTTGGACCTGGCCCATTTGGAGTCACAAGCATCAGACTCAGTCCATGTCTTTTTTTTTTTTTTAGATTTTACTTATTTATTTGACAGAGAGAGACACAGCGAGAGAGGGAACACAAGCAGGGGGAGTGGGAGAGGGAGAAGCAGGCTTCCCGCTGAGCTGGGAGCCCGATGAGGGGCTCGATCCCAGGACCCCGGGACCATGACCTGAGCTGAAGGCAGATGCTTAACGACTGAGCCACCCAGGCGCCCCTCAGTCCATGTCTTGCAGGAGCACCCATCCAGTCTAGAGGGGGAGGGCAACAGGCAGTGGCTGGGCGACTGGCCTACCTTGGCCTGAGGCATTATGCTATGAGGCGCCTCTCATATTTTGGAAGGAAGTACTCCAATCATGAGCAAAGGGTAGGTTTCCTTTTTTTTCCTTTTAGCCTAGGCCTGCCTAGAAGACATGGAGCTGTATCTTCTCATCTCTACTAGCACCACTTTGTTCTTGGTTCTCAGGCAACACTAACTGTGGGCTATCAGTGCTGAGAGTTTGCTCAGGTTCTATGCACTCCTTTAGCATTTAGAACTCCAGATTGGCAGGTAATCCTCAAGATTGCCTGGCTTCCGGGGCGCCTGGGTGGCTCAGATGGTTAAGCATCTGTCTTCAGCTCAGGTCATGATCCCAGGGTCCTGGGATCAAGTGCCACATCGGGCTCCCTGCTAGGCGGGGAGCCTGCTTCTCCCTCTGCCTCTCTCTCTGACTCTCATGAATAAATAAATAAAACTTTAAAAAAAAAAAAAGATTGCCTGGCTTCCACTCCCCTTATCACATTCTGGCTGCTATTCTAATTTTTTTAGTAGATCACTCTGTCCTCTCTGAGCTATGGAAGTCAAGAACTGGGTTCTGAGGGCACCTGGGTGGCTCAGTCAGTTAAGCGTCTGCCTTCGGCTCAGGTCATGATCTCAGGGTCCTAGGATCGAGCCCCCATGTTGGGCTCCCTGCTCAGTGGGAAGTCTGCTTCTCCCTCTCCTCTGCCCCTCCCCCTGCTCATGCTCTCTCTCAAATAAATAAATACAATATTAAAAAGAAAAAAAAACTGGGTTCTGTTCATTTCTGTCAGTAGGCATAAGGTTAAGTGAAGGAAAGAAAGGATTACTAAATGTTACTGACCCCAGAAGCAACTCTAGCTGGGCCTCAGTTTCCCAGTAGCAGAACTGCAAGGGTCAAGGAGATAGTTTCAATCTCTGGGGTCTCGACCAAGCTGATTCTCGGTGCCTGGGGAGTGGTACAGTGAGCTGCCTATGCCGCCAACAGCTTGTGAAGATCTCAGCTCATGGATTTGGGGACAGAGAAGAGATACCCATCCATAGGGCAGGCTGCATGCTATTGAGGTCAGCCAAGTTCACCTGTGGTGGCGACTCCCATCTCCTTTGAGCACTGCCTCTTGCTGTCAGCCGGCTGCCTGTATAACTTTGAGCTCCTTCAGGGGAGGAACCTGGTACAAAAAATAAAGTGGGGTGAGGAGCAGTTGAATGAGCAAAAGAGTGAATCATAGAGGAGTCCAGAAGACCACCATGTCATCACCCAAATGTACACTAGGACCTTAAAGGGGAATTAGTGATACCCTGTCAGCCTGAGGCAGGGAAAGATTTGGTAGGAGGGCGGCGGGGATGTGGTTCATGTCACCTGCCAGCTCTCGGAACTCCGAGGGGCCATACTGAGAGTGTATTATTCACCAACATCTTCTCCCTGGCAGTTGGATATATTCCCAGGGTCGCATGTGGAACAGTTACAACTGAGAGGACAAACGACTTATCTATATTCATGCAGCAAGAGAAGGGATGAGGCGGCTTTAAACCTGTCCTGGAGGGGGACTTCTCTTTCAGAAGCATAGACAGAGTCTAAGCTAAGGTTCACATCTTGGCTCCGCCACTCCAAGCTGTGGGACCTTGAGTTTATTTAAACCTGATCTCTACTTTCCTCTCCATGACATAGGAACAATGTACCCACCTATGGGGTTGACATGAGGGTTAAACAAGATCAGGTACCTAAAGTGCTTTGTAAACCAGTCAGCTCTATATCAATATTGGCCAGAGGACCAAAATATGAGAGGAACCAAAGTCATTTCTTGGAGGGGCCATATCCTCAGTGCTAACCTAGCTGACTTCTTCCTCTTCAGGACAAGAGTGAGGCCTCCAGCAGAGCCTTGTCCAGAAGGCCTTGTCGTCCCAGACCTAACTCGCTGCCTTCCAACTTGCCTGAGGAAGAAACTCGCAGGATTGCACGGATATTTTCTTCCCAATACTCCCAGAAAGACTAATACAGACTGAAAGACAAAGGGAAGGATCCACCTGCCCACGCTCCTTTGGCCTTGTCCAGCTTGCATGAGGCACAAGGTCTGCTTCCTTCAAGGCCGTGAGAGCCCTGAAACCACCACCAGCCTAGTCCATGGGTGCCTTGAGACCCATCCAGCGCAGCCTGGAGGAGCGTCCCAAAGCAGTCCAAATTCCACCTGCTAGGATTTCAACTTCTTCCTTCTAAACAAAATGGATTCCAGTACCCAAGTGGAACCACCCATCTTTTGACCAAGGGACCCAAGCAGGCATCTCTCGGCTGAGAAACTCCTTCCAGTGTCCTTGATAGCCTTCTGCTGACATGAGCCCACCTTCTGCCTGAATATCATGGGCCATTTTTGCCTTAAAGTTTGGGTGAGGTAGAGGAGGGGGTGGAGATTGTGTGTGTTGCGCATAGCGGAGGAAACCTAGGGCCACCTCCAATTGATTTGCTTAGAGATAAGGGTATTTCATAGATATAAATTATTTTTATGCTGTGTTGAATTAATCAATAGAAAGGGAGGGGGAAAATCACCTCCTTCAGACTTTTTATCTGATTATCTGAGATTCTAACCATGCTTTTAACTTACTATTTTTACCCAGCTCTGAAGGTCATTGTTCCTGCCCGTGTTTGAATAAAATCATATTGGTACTGGTATTCTGTACACGGTGTTTCCTGGGCTGGCCACTGGCCTGGGGTGTTAGGAATCCATTTGTGCTCTAACAGCCAAAGGAAAGCTTGAAAACCGTATAGTCCCTTAAGCTCACTTGGAACTGGGGGCCAGGGTCACCATGAGGCTTCATGGTGAGAGATCAGACTGGTCCAGATTGGGATAACAACCAGTTTGTCCTTCGCTTCTACCTCAAATCCATCAGCACAGTGGAGGGGTCTCCTGGAACAGGTCTGCTCAGAATCCCTGATCTCTCTAGGATAGATCGCTCTGGCTTAAGACTATCAGACTCCAAACATCTGAGCAGCTACTGTAGACAGGGCCTGTGGGGAAGATAAGAACAGGGCAAAGATGTGCAGAGTGGCTGGGAGAGAAGGTTGGAGGAGAACTAACATGGAGTCCCCGCTTTCCTCCCCAAGCACAGGTCATTTTGCTTAGTTCTCATAACAACTCTGTAACCTACAGGTCATGATACCCATTTTATAGTTAAGCTGAAACTCACCAAGGTTGTTGTTTGCCTCTGTTTATGAAGCTAGGAAATGAACCACCACACTCATTTCCAGAGAGGTCACAAGGCTTCTGCACACAGGGAGTAGCCAGTGGGTGCTCTGAATTCAGGAAATTCATGGAGAAAGATCATGTGGGCTGGAGCAACCAGAGCGGGCTTCCTAGAAAAGTTAAGTCAGAGGATGAGCCCAGAGAAAGAACCAGGAGGGCACTCAGGGCCACATGCTGCTGGGGACAGGGAAGAGACAGGTCTGACGCTGCCACTTCCCTGACAGGCCCCCTCCGGCCTGACTGTCCCTCTGTCTGAGCTTCCATTGCCTCATCTGTAAAAGGGAAGGGATAGCGCTGCAGGGGCTTGTTGCGAGGAGAACCGGGGTGACATTTGTGAAAGTGCTTCGCCCACACTTGGCACTTACTGGAAGCTGAGGAAATGTCAGCTCCTCCCACTCCTCCCCCACTCCCCTGGCAGCAGATAGGCGAGCACGCCAACAACTCAGACAGGCAGGACGTGCCTGACGGTAGAGGCTAATGCGCGAACCCCCAGGGGGGACAGCGTGCCCCCCGCATCGGTGCAGTGCCCTCCGACCAGGCCGTTGCCCTTTCTTGTTCACCTCCCCCGCTGCCGGCCACCAGCCTGCCAGCTCGCCCCCTCCCCAGCGCCTTCCTCTCGCCTTCCTCTCGGAGCTTTCAAGGCAGGGGGCCCCACCCCCCTTAAGGCCACATGGAACCTACAGAGGGGCAGGCAGGGGCCCAGGCCTGAGGGGTTAAGCCTCAGGTGAAGAATATTCCTTCCAAGTCCTGCTCCAGCTTCTGTAAATAACCTGATTGGGTCAAGTTAGGATAAGGCCTCAGGAGGACACAGACTGGTCCTACCCAGGCTCACGAGGTGCTACCTAACACAAGGGCACCCCAAGGGTCTGTAAATCATCACCTACACTGAAAAAGAGTGTGTTACTTACCAGTATCTTCCCCCTGGAAGTTGGATCTCTCCCGGTGACAGCTCAGAGGTGAAATGCCTCACAAGCCATGCAGCCTGGCTTAAGGGCAGGAGGTGCGCATTTGACAACCAGCCACCATCTCCCTCACCTCCTTTCAGGCACCGCCTCTGCAGAGACCTGAAATGGGTGTTTCTGATCCCCGGACGCTGGCACATCCCAGCCCCTTGCAGCCAACCTTGGAATTTCTAGTGCCTGGTGGGTTCTGGGGACAGGGAGCCAAAGCAGACACATCTGGCCCTGCCCTCAAGAAGCCTCCCAGGCCAATGTAAGCTGAGTCCTCCCTCTGGGTACTCCAGGGCCCATGGCCTCCTTGTTTGAGCTCCTGCTGTTTACCCTCCCCCTGTACCCACTGCGATTCACCCACCACCCTCCGGCCAGCATTTCCAGCCGGAGCCCACAACCTACTTCCTGAGCCCAACCTCAGCGGTCCCAGCAGCCCCTTCCCTTAGAAACACCAACACAACTGCCTGTGCTACTGATGTTAGGGCAGGGCCTGGTCCAAGGAAGAGGACAGACAGCCCTGGCTTTGCACTTGAGTGTCTGGACTTGTGACCACTTGCCCTGTGGCCATGGCTCTGTGCCCAAGTCCAGAAATGGCTTCTGCCTACTCCTCTGCCTGCCCAGTTAATTCCCTTCCCACTCCCTCTCCCTCCCTTCTCCGGTCCCCCTCCCCTCCTCTTTCCTAGGTCACCCGGGTCCCAGGTTCAGATGTGGCCCACCCTTCCCCTCAGCGCCTGCTGACGGAGCCCCCAGTAGTAGCAGCTGCTGGGGCCTCTCCCCGCTGTGCCCCACACACCGCTCCCAGCTGCCTTTGGCTCCCTTCAGCAGTGCCCGTGCTGAAGCCTCCAAGTGTCCTGTCTGAGACGGTAATGGTCACAGCCGATAGGCCCCAGAATAAGAGATTACAATTGAAGGGCTGGAGGTTGGGCCCTGCCATATACTAGCAATATGACCTGGGTAAGTCCTTGTCCCTCCCCGACATCGTTTTCTCCTCTGTAAAGGAAGCATTGCAAACATTAGGATGCTCAGCAATAAAAAAGGAATGAGGTACTGATACATGCTATAACATGGATGCATCTTGAAAGTACCATGCTAACTGAAAAAAGCCAGTCACATGCCACATGATTTAATTTATATGAAAGGTTCAGAAATCTATAGAGATAGGGGTGTCTGGGTGGCTCAGTTGGTTAAGCATCTGCCTTCGCCTCAGGTCATAATCCCAGAGCCCTGGGCTCGAGCCCCAGGTCGGGCTCCTTGCTCAGTGGGGGAGTCTGCTTCTCCCTCTGCCCCTCCCCCACTCTTGCTCGCTCTCACTCTCTCTCAAATAATTAAATAAAATCTTTAAAAAAAGAAGTCTATAGAGACAGAAAGTAGATTAGTGCTGGCTTGGGGCTGAGTGGAAGGGAAGAAGGAAAGTGACTACTGATGTACACAGGGATTTGGGGGGGCCAAGTGGGGAGTGGTGAAAATATTCTAAAATTGTGATGATGGTTGCATAACTGAACACTAAAAACCATTGAATTATATCCATTAAATAGGTGGATTGTATGGTATGTGAATTATATCTCAGTAAAGCTGTTATTTAAAAAAAACAGAATCCTGGGCACCTGGGTGGCTCAGTCAGCTAAGCATCTGCGTTTGGTTCACATCATGATTTCAGTCCCTGCTCAGTGGGGAGTCTGCTTCTCCTTCTGCCTCTGCCCCTAACCCCTGCTCATGCGCTCTCTCTCTCTCAAATAAGTAAAAAAATCTTTAAAATATATATATAAGTAAGTAAGTAAACAACAGAATCTTAATAGTACTTACCTCATAGGGTTGTGAAAAACAGAAGGAATATATATAAAGTACCTGGCACACAGTAGGCACCAAGAAATGACTGTTACTATCATTGTTAATGTTAGGAGAGCCCTGCCCAGCCTATCGTGTGTGGCCTTGACCTTTGAATTCTCAAAGGTGACTGGTCCAACCCCTTTCCCCCATGTGCCCTTATTACCTAAGGTAGCTCTTTCAGCAGCTGGAAGGGGCTATTTTAAAGAACCCAAGTCAGAGGAACTAAACCAGATCTGGAAGTCCAACCTTTCCCCTCACCTCCCTGCCACTCACCAGCCAGCCGCCTCTTGTCAGGTGATCAGGCTGTCAACTAAGCTTCTGTAGGGTAAGGTTTCAGGTCAGCTGGAGCATATAAAGATAGGTGCCAAGCCAGAGGCAGCAGAGACAACAGTGAATGGCGAGGGGGCAACTAGATCCCTGCTGCCACCTCCTGGGATGGAGCCCTAAGGAGCCTTAAGGCGGCCCTGTGCTTCCCCTACCCTGGCTGGACTCACAGGTAAGACCCCATTCTCCACCACCCCCTTCCCCCTCCATGTTCTGCCCTTCACGGCAGCTTACAGAGAGCAGCCAGGAGCTGACCAGGATCACTATCCTGGGATCACTACAGAGCTGGGAGATTGCGTTCCTCCCCCACCGAGTCAAGAGGGGGTAACTGCAACCCTGATGAGGGGGCACCGTGGCTGGGCTGAGGCTCGACCCCAACACCCGTGTCACCCACAACCCACTGTCCCCTTTCTCTGCTGGCTGCCTCTGCTGTGATTTTGCAAATCTCCATAGATAAGAAGTGGCTTTCTCCTTAGTCTGGCACAGAATCTCCAGAATGCCTCCAGAGCATTAAGCCCTTCCCCCGTGAGGGTCCTGGAGACCCCTTTCCTGAGTTAGAGATGGTGCAGGCACCTCTGGCCTCACATACAGGGAGGTTTACGAGCCCACAGAACTCTACTCAGGTTGCTTCCTCAGCGGGGACATGCTGTGGAGGCTTTGCCAGGAAGGCGAGATCGGGCAGGGCATCTCAGAATGGGGTCCTCCGATCCCTGCTTCCGAGTTACCATGGAGAAGAGCTTCCCCAGCCCCAGCCCAGCCCCGACTCGATCTCTGGCACTGACGGCCTCTGAGAATCCACTCTGTAAACAAGCAGCTCCAGGGATCCTGAGCTCTCCCTGAGGTGTGAGGCTCTGGACGGCGGCACACGCGCGTGGCAGACCGAGCTGGGCTCCCATCCCAGCCCCATCCCTTCCGTCTTATGACTAGCTGAAGCCTTCACAGCCTGAGGTCCCTTGGTTATGAAGTGGGAATCCCTGTGACAACTACCGTATGGCCTCATAAAGGGACTGAATTCGTCAACACCTATCGGGGCGCCACCACCGTGCCTCAGGCAAGAAGCACCGAGCAGACGTAATGGGGCACTCCTACTGTGGCCAGGTAGCTGGAACGTGCCATCCCTCAAGGGCCCCAACGGAGCCACAGAGAGAAGAGTTCTGCTCTCAACTTCCCCTTCGCCACTGGCAAAGTTCTGCGGGCTGCTAGATTTCCCCAAGTATCAATTCAGGAGGCTGGAGTCAAGCGGGAAGGAAGGAAGGCGGGAAGCAGTGGCCTCAGGGCAGCCCCCACCTGAGTGTACCATTGTGGCCTCCCTCTCCACCACAGCTTGACTAATGAAAGTTCTAGAGCCCCCTCTCCCCCAAGGAGTCCCCGCCCATTCATTCTGCCTCCCGTGAGCGGCTCAGAACTGCATCTGGAATAGGTTCCAGCTTCACCCACGGCCGCTGCTCTTGCCTGACTTCAGGCTCCAACACCTCTGGCTGCACCATTCCAACAGCCTCCTCACTGGCCCCTCACCTTCCAGTCCAGTCTTGACATTTGCACCAGCATACTCTGAACGCTGGTCTGATGGTGTCATTCCTCGACTTGAGAACCACCAACCACTCCCCATTCTCTGCTAGATTCAGTACAGCCCTGGCATTCCAGACCCTCCACCAAAGAACACTGTGAAGGACTTCTCTGATTTCATTTCCCATTTCTCCACTTCAGCAAGTGGGGTTCCTTGGTCAACTGGTCCTCCCTGGGCTCCTCTAGCCCTGGGCCATCCCTGTACCAGGCTACACAGAGAAGCACGATCAGTAGACCCTGTCCCTGCCTTTGGGGCTCCCTATCTAGGGGGGGAACAACTGCAGTTAATGAGCTAATCAACAGAGGCTGGGGCAAAGGAGTTTCTTGACAGTTCAGCCTCCCCCAGTCCTCCCACCCAACCCCCAGGCCAGGCGGAAAACAGGCTTCCCCAGGGAGACCCAGCCCATGAGACAAAACTCATGGAGTGTTCCCTGTGGGCCCAGGTACATCACAAATCCTCTGCACCCAGGGGGCTAAGACCAGAGAATGCCTTGGAGTCACATAGCCCTGGTGGGAATCCCACTTCTGCTCACTGGGTGAACTCTGACAGGTCATTTCACCTGTCTGGGCCTCAGTTTGTAACTGTGCAAGCGGAGTAAAAATACCTAACTTGCAGGATCCTTCTATTAGAATCTGAGTGGCTACCAAAGGCTTTGAAGAAAGGACACTCCTACAACCAGTAAGAGACACTAGAGAACACGACCCCCAAGGGCCTCCCCAGCTCTGAGAGTCAGACACTCAGATTCCTGACCCTGGGGCTCTGAGCAGTCCAGCTCACGTCAGAGAAGGGGAAAGGCCAGGGCAATGCCAGGGCCTGGAACAAGGGAGGCAGCTGCTTGCGCATACCCTACACATGCATTCCAGCCCCAGAGAGAGCCCCCTTGCTGGGAACTGAGCCCTCCTGGCAGCTGCTGGTCTTCTGTAGGCAAAGGGAAATGGGAAGGAGGCAAGTGGAGGGCTGTGTTCCCCTAGCATGCTGCAGTCTGTCCCCTCCACCAGGCTCAGGTCCATGGGCACCAGTGCGTCCACACCGCCCCAGGAGCTAGATCCTTCTTGGACCCTCAGGGAGGCAGTATAGAAAAGCAGGAAGACAGGCTGTGGGAGGAACACTGCAGAGGGAGCCCTCAGCCTCTCTGGCCATTTTCTTCATCTGCCAAGCTGGGCAGTGATGCCCACCCAGCTTTCCTCACCACGCTGTTGTTCTGTATGCTTAGCACTTAATTCTCTAGATGGACTGGCATATAATTCATTAACTGCAAAGGGCTTTGAATGCCCTCAATAAAAAAGACAAGGTCTGGAAATGCATACTACCATACCTACTGGGGTCCCGAGCCGAATGGTGAAGGGGCCTCACTGCCAGGAGAATTTAGTTGAGGTTCTGTGCCTTTCGATCTGTCTCTCTCCATCTTAAGCCTCTTTTTCTCATCTGTAAAATGGATTTAAAGCTTCCCTGCCTTCTTTCCAAGGCTGTTTCGAGCCTAGTACAGCAGAGTGAGCCAGGCACGGACACTAGTGGCTGGTAACACTCAGCAAGCTAATGTCCCCAAGTCCTGGTTTGCTCATCCAAAAGTAGGGGAAGGAGCAGCTACCTCTCAGGAAAGTTGGGAGAATTCAGTGGGATTATGTGCAAAAACTCTGCTGGGAGGGCCTCAGACCCAGGTGGTCATTTTCTCCTCCTACCTGAATCCATGCCCTGGACTCTCACACAAGCTCATGCCCTTCCCTGCATCTGGAACACCCTTCCTCCTTCAGCTGCCAAAATCCTGCCCACTTTTCAAAGCCTAAGTTATGTGACCCTCCTCCCACCCTCCACCATGAAATGGTTCTTATTCCACCTCACAAACAAAAGAGGGGGTCTCCCCCTCCTTTGAGTCCCTTCTTGGGGCTTTCCTCCCCTCTGACATTGGTGCAACCCATCTTCTGTGGATGTGTCTGATGCCCCCACAAGACTCCTTGAGAGTTCCTTGTGGGCAAGTCGCACAGACTATTTGCTCATCCCCAGATTTCCAGGAATGCCAAGCACAGAACCTAGCATGCGGTGGGTCTTATGAGTCCACCAACCATGGCAAGGACTCTGAACTTTGTTCTGAAGAGTCCAGGATCCCAGCACATGAGGGGTATGTGTGCGTTGGGTGCCAGGGGGTGTGACCTGCTAAGAAAGGGCCTCAGCGCCAAAAGCCAGACGCCCAGAAGTTCAGGTTGTAAGAGTGCCGGGCTGCCCGTGACAAGCGTGCCAACTTCCCAAGGTAACCACAGCTAAACCAGGACCTTGGGATGTGAACCTACCCTGCTCAGCCAGCAGTAGGACGGGTGCAGCTACAAGTGCCCACGGGGAGAGGGGACACATTCTCTTGACCCAACGCCGATCCTCCTCTGAGAAGCCCGATCTCTTCAGCTGAGAAGGGATGCCCTCCGGGGTGTGAGGGGGAAAGGGCATGCGCTGAGCCAGGCAGAGCAGCTGCCACTGCCCCCCAAATTAGCAGCGGTCGCTCTGTAGCCCCATCTCCCTAGGAGCTGCGGCGGGGGGGGGGGGGGGCGGCCAGAGCAGCAGAGAAGCGTGGAACCACTCCCTCCCTCCTCCAAAGCAGAACATCAGCCCCAGGAATCCCACAGTGTTGGGAGGAAACGCCTCCAGTCACAGATGAACAATCTCTAGTGACAGGGAGGAATCACAGCCTGGGAAGGATTTCGTTTTAAGTAGAATAAGAGTATATTCAGGCAACCTTGCAAAAAAAAAAAAAAGAAAGAAAGAAAGAAAGAAAGAAAAACCAAGCTTTCATCCAAGATAACTAACAGTTTAGGCGAGTCATGAGGCACATTTATATTGCTGATCTGGGAAAGAAGGACCTGAAGTGGAGAGACTTGGTAGGCTCTCCATACACTTCAGGGAGCAGGTCCTTCCCAGGGAGCAGCCTGATGCAGGAGAAAGAGAACAGGGTCATAGGGTGGAGTCAGAATGAGGTCTGGTCCCTGCCTGAGCTTCAGTTTCCTCCTCTAAAGGATGAAGATCCACCTGGTCAGTGGAGAGAGGAGGGGGGAGGGTAAGGATCACAAGAGATAAGGGCTGGGAAAGTGACCTGTTCTTATAAGCCAAATCTACACAGCTAAGCATAGCAATGCCCAGGCTTTTCTCTTACTTCTCCCGGTGCTGAAAGGAGCCTGGGGACAGTCCGGATGGCCCAAGTTCCATCTGCCTCCTCTGGCCTGTCTCCTGCAGCCTCCTCCCTGCACTAAAGCTCAGGACTGCAAAGCAGCCTCTCTCCTTGGACCTCTGCTGGGCCCTGGAGGGACCAGGCAGAACCTTCTGGGACCATGGTTGGACTAAAGCCTTCAGAGGTACCTCCTACCACAGCTGTGAAATTCCTGGGGGCAGGCACAGCGGCCTGTTTTGCTGATCTCCTCACCTTTCCACTGGACACAGCCAAGGTCCGCCTGCAGGTAGGTGCTTTTTGGCAAGGGTCATTGTTCAGATCAAAGGAAGGACTGAGTTCTCCATGCCAGCACCTCTTGTGTGTGCCGGCCTGCTCTCCTCACACAGAACCCTGAGCAGGCCACTCACTCCACTGCTTACAACCCTGCCTCACCATCATCCAAGACAAAAAAAAAAATCTTAGTTCCTTGGGCCCTTCATGGCCTCACCCTACTTTGTAAACCATGGAGTGTGAAGTAAAGGTAAGTAACTGTGTGACCTTGGGCAAACCACTGACCACTTGTTGTGGGAAAAACAATCTGCCCTCCATTTGCTCTGAGGGCTGAGCACCACACCATGTGTGACAGCTTATGAGCAATACGCTGATGCACAAACCTCAGTTGTTTTTCCTGGGATGTGATGGCTATAATCCTGCTCGTGCTCGAGAACCAGCCCTGGACAGCTCCTTCTGCACACAGCCGCCTCTCCCCTCCTCCCAGCTCCTCACACCTCTGCTGGGATGTTCCTCAGATCCAGGGGGAGAACCAGGCGACCCAGGCAGCCCAGAGACCCCAGTACCGCGGCGTGCTGGGCACCATCCTGACCATGGTGCGCACCGAGGGCCCCCGCAGCCCCTACAACGGGCTGGTCGCCGGCCTGCAGCGCCAGATGAGCTTTGCCTCCATCCGCATTGGCCTCTATGACTCTGTCAAGCAGTTCTACACCCCCAAAGGAGCGGACCGTGAGTGCCTGGTATCCTGTGGACACCGAGGGGATAGGCAGAGGCAGACTCTAGGCTAGAGGGTCAGACATGAGGGCAGTACAGACTCAGAGAAAGAGCTGGGGCGTAGGAGGCGGGTAATAGACACTCATGAGGAGACCGAGCCGCTGTCAGGACCTTGAGCCTAGGAGAGGAGGCAGGCATCAGGCAAGGGCAGCTCCACAGAGAACAGCATCCAGAGCCCAGAGAAGTGCTGGGTGGCAGAACACTGACCCACTCTTCTCTCCTTCTCTCCAGACTCGAGCATCACTACCCGGATTTTGGCAGGCTGCACCACAGGGGCCATGGCGGTATCGTGCGCCCAGCCCACGGATGTGGTGAAGGTCCGGTTTCAGGCCAGCATACCCCCTCGGGCCAGGAGCAACAGGAAATACAGTGGGACAATGGATGCCTACAGGACCATTGCCAGGGAAGAAGGGGTCAGGGGCCTATGGAAAGGTAGGTCCGGACTCCAGGTTCAGAGGGCCGTGGGCAAAGCATGCCTTACCCTTGAGCTAGGGCAGAGAACCGAGCAAGGAGGGAACTCCCAGCATGGTATATTCCAGTGATTCTGTAAGAACATCCCAACCAAAACTATCACATTGACCTGCCCCAAATTCAGTTCAATGTGTCAACGCTTCAGCATGTGCAGGCTGCTATGAGGGAGACAAATGAATAGAAGATACCTTCCATACCCTCATGGCTCTCACAGACAAAGAGAGATGAGACACGTCAAGGAGCAGCCATTCCACAGGGTAGGATGTGTGAGGTTCACACAGAGGTATACGGCCAGAGGCAGGAGAGGCCACGCAGGCTCCAGGGGGAAGGTGACGCGCAAGCTGGGCCTCAAGGCTCAGTGGGCTCTAGGTGTGTGGAGATGGAAGGGTAGGGCTTCCCCAGCAAAGTTCTATCAGGAGTGACTATAGGACATGGAGAAGAAACAGAGGCCAGTGGAGGAGGCAGCTGTGAGTTGTTGGATGTAGGGAGATATGATGAGGAGCGGGCTTCCTCAAGAGTAAGGCTTTCCGGTTCCCTATGTGTCCAAGTGGAGGCCACCTTGACAAATGCTGGAATCTCTCCCCCATGTGGGCCAGGGGTCATACAAATCCTTGCAGAAGAAACAGTGACCCAGTGAAGGTTAAGGACAGGACACCTGGGTCACAGTCTGATTTGCTCGGTGCTCTCCCGAAGCCCAGACCTCATCTGTGTATCAGTGGCTGGGTCTGAAAGCTCTCCTGGGGCCTCCCAGGGCTACCGTCTGTCACTGCTCCAAGAGCCTGGCCTCCCTCCTCCAAAAAAAGGCTTCCTTGCCTGGCTTTAGCCAGATCTCACAGAGGCGTATTTTAATTTTGATAGATATTGCAGATTATTCTCCAAAATGTGGCTCAGACAAACATAAGAGGGCCTCTCTGTTTTCTGTCTCTGAGGTGGACATGGATAATCTAAGAGTTAACCCCAGAGAGGAAAGTGTGGAATCCGCTCAACTGAGGCAGGCTCCTCTGAGACCACTGGAATGGAGCATTCTGCCCCCAAACCGGGGCCTTATTTTTCACTAATCAGCCCCCACCCCATCCTTCACAGGAACTTTGCCCAACATCACAAGGAATGCCATCGTCAACTGTGCTGAGATGGTGACCTATGACATCATCAAGGAGAAGCTGCTAGACTATCACCTGCTCACTGGTGAGGCCCTGGGCTCCAGGGAGCTGCCCTCCCACAGCAGGGAGGGAACCTGGAATTCCACAGAGTGGGCACCACTCAGAGGCAACCGGGTGTTAGAAGGAGCAGAGAGAGGAGCAGTGCCCAGTAAAGATGCCCAATAGGAGTGCCTCTCTACTTGCTAGATGGGGTGCTGCCCAATTCATAAATCACTTAAGAATGCCAATTAGATCTTTTAAAAAGTGCCCAGTCCATCATTGTGATGAGTGGGAAAGAACCCTGGATAAGGAGGCCCGAGCCCTGGGTCCCAGCCCAGCACTTCCCACCATGCATCTTGAAGCAAGAGTCGCCTTCTCTGACTTCATTCTCCTCTAATGAGATCGCTGGGCTGCCCAGCCTGCCAACTGTGGGACAGCCCTGTTCTATTTGGCAAGTTCTGTGAGAGCTCTAGAAAGCATTATCCTACACTCAAGGAGTTCCCAGTTTAGTGAAGGACAAATGCTGACACACATGGAACAGAAAGCCAGCGCACTGCCATCTCACAGCTCCGTGCTTGCTCCTCCCTTCCCTGCTACAGACAACTTCCCCTGCCACTTCATCTCTGCCTTTGGAGCCGGCTTCTGTGCCACAGTGGTGGCCTCCCCAGTGGACGTGGTGAAGACCCGGTACATGAACTCGCCCCCAGGGCAATACCGCAGCCCCCTGGACTGTATGCTGAAGACGGTGGCCCACGAGGGCCCCACAGCCTTCTATAAGGGGTGAGCCTCCCCCTCCTGCCTCCAGCAGCCCCTCCCAGAGAACCTGGGCTTGCTTCCTTCCCTCCTTCCTTCCACGTGTAACGTGCCTGCCGTGGGTCCACCTGGGGACGTGGTGAGCAAGCACAGATGTAAATGCCACAAAGGACAAATATAAAGAACTATGGAAGTTAAAAAAAAAAAAAAAAAAGTGGACCAAATCTGATTTGGAGAGTCAGGGGAGGCTTACCTGAGAAAAAGAAGTCTAGGCATAGGTCAAAGTACTGTCTATCCCCAAACTTACTGGGCAAGGGAGAAGGAGGGAAAAGTGGTTGGTAGTCCTGAGACTTTTCTCCAACCCACTGTCAAGACTGTGGATCACCACTGATGGCAGCCACAGTGCCCAACACATGTCACATTTTCTTGCTCCGTTTCTGCTTTTACCATTCCCTCTTAATGGAATGCCTTTCCCACCTCATGCACGTGCTTCAGAACTAGTTCAAATGCCACCTCCTCCCCAACATTCTCAGGTGCAGATGTTTCCTTCTCTCTGTGAACTGCAGCAATACTTCCTTGATACCATTTTTATGGTATTTACCACCTCCTACTTTGTGTTACAGGATTTGTAAGTTTAAATTATCCTGCATGCTACATCACAAGCTCCTTAAAGCCAGAACTGGTGGCTTATATGTCTTTCATCTCCCTAGCCAAAAGCCGGCACTCAATAATGTAGGTTATTAACAATCACCATGACCGCTAAGTCACCAAGTACAAGGCCTTACACAAAGCACTTTACACAGATTATCTCAACAACCGCCTGAACTGGGCAATATTCTCCACATTTACTGAGGAAGAAACTGAGACTCAGAAAGGTGAAGTGACTTACCCAAGATCACATATTTAAAATGTCAGAGCCACGGCTCTGAGCCAGATCATCAGATGCCACCCCACATGTCGTTATCCATCCTACTGTCAAGCTCTTGGCTTGGCCCTTACACCTCCCACTACTGATGCCTTCAGCAGATAGTTTTCTGGTGCCCAATGTTAGATTGGACCCAACAGGCAATCAGGTTCTCAACCCTGTGAGTGACATCATAAAGCTATTTCAATTGCCAGACTTCTTTTCCTGTAAGTGCTTCTATCATTACAATCATCAGCAGTAGCCACCTGTCTCAGTTTCTTCTTTTTTTTTTTTTTTTAAAGATTTTATTTATCTATTCATAAGAGAGAGAGGCAGAGGGAGAAGCAGGCTTCCTGCTGAGCAGGGAGCCCGATGCAGGACTCGATCCCAGGACCCTGGATCATGACCTGAGCCGAAGGCAGACGCTTAACCATCCAGGTGCCCTCAGTTTAGTCTTTCACTTGGAAAACATTTACTGAGCATCTCATGTGTGCCAGGCCCTGTGCTTTCCTCAAAGAGCAGCAGACAGGTGACATTTATGGAGCATTTACGGATACTGGGCCCTGTACTGTATGCTGTACATTAACTCATTTATTCCTTCACAACAGCTCTATGAGGTAACTGCTGTTATTCTCCTCATTTTACAGATGAGGACACTGAGGCTTAGAAAGATTAAGTAACCTGTCCTAAGTCATGAAGCTAGAAAATGACAGAGCTAGGGTCTGAACCCAGGTCTGACTCTAGAGTTCACATTCTTGGCCCCAGTGCTATTCTCCCTGGGAAGGCTAGGCTGAGGGTTCTGGAGAGACCTTGGTATGAGGCTATGGGGCCGAAGCCGAGTTCTACAGAGCCAAGAGCAACCAGCCCCGCAGGGAGGAGAGTAGGGGACATTCCCAGGCAGAAGGAGCAGCACAGGCAAAGGCATGGAAGCAAGTCTGGCAGGAGAGGAGAGGATCAGGAGGGGATTAGCAGAGAGAGAGAAAGGCTGAAGAGGGAGCCGCGCCAGGTCCCAGGCTCCTCCCTGAGTCTGCGAAGCTGAGGTGGGGACGGTCTCCCAGCTGCGCTATCACAGGACAGACAGGCTCTCTGGAGATTAGCTAAAGTTGGTGTCACCCAGTCTTGACCCCTTGGTGTGCCAGCTTCTAGATGCCCTGGCAGGGCCTCCTCAGGGATGGCCCCTCAGCATGTAAATGATTCCAGGAACACCCAGCCAGGGCGGAGTCAGGTAGTTTTAGCTGAGCTCCTTAACTACCCTGGGCTTCAGTTCCTTTTTTTTTTTTTTTTAAGATTTACTTATATATTTGAGGGAGAGAGAGCACGCATGCAAGCGGGGGCAGGGGGCGGGTAGGGGCAGACAGAGAGAGAAAGAGAGAGAGAGAAAATCTCAAGCAGACTCACCACTGAGCGCAGAGCCTGACTCAGGGCTCCACCCCATGACCCTGAGATCAAGACCTGAGCCAAAACCAAGAATCAAATGCTTAACTGACTGAGCCACCCAGGTGCCCCTGGAGTTTCTAAAAAAGAAACCTGGCAACCATCATAGCTGCCTTATAGAATTGTGGGAATTAACTGCCTAACACAGAACCTGGCTCAAAATGTGTTTTCTTTCCTTTCCTGACTGCCGCTTCTGCCTAAATTCCTTCAGCAGAGAAGGAAAAGCCTGAACAGATCTCAGAGACTGCTTGTGACTAATAGAAGCCTAGGTCCTTTGGCACTAACACTGTGAATGGGGGGAGCACCGGAGATCTATCTGGGATTCTTAGTCCACTCCACCTGATGTTTGGTTGTTTCTCTCATCAGATTTACACCATCCTTTTTGCGTTTGGGAACCTGGAATGTGGTGATGTTCGTGACCTATGAGCAGCTGAAACGGGCCTTCATGAAAGTCCAGATGCTACGGAATCTCCATTCTGAATAAAGCAAGCCCACCTGGCACTTAACTAGAACAAGAACCAGTGGGTCCAGGCACACACAAACCCACACATGTTTACAGAACTGTTTACTTGCTACTGAGTCAAGAAATAGAAGCAGAGGAAGGATTCTGGTCTTCAGTGCTTTGTCTTAAGAACACATCTGTTTTGCACTGACAAGATGGAAATTAAATTATATTAATTTGGGGGACCCATATGTTGGATGCCTAATATTTAGGCAAGAGAAAACAAACCAAAACATCCATTTGGATAAAACAAAAGTTTGCAAACCTCTGTTCTCTAAAAAAAAATCTGATTAAATGATGAATTGTAAACAGGGAAGACTGCAAGCATGGGACAGCAGTGGCACATGACACTTGGAAAGCAGCTAAGGAGTTTGGAGGGATGCTGCCAAAGCAACATAGCTGTGACTGCAGCCTTTGGCTAACCGTGGATCATCAGCCATATATGTAATGTGCCCGCCACTTAGAAGCCATTGGGATTCTAGAAAATATGAGACCAAAAAAAGACACACAGAGAAAGAAAATCTGGAACCTGTGCCAAAGGGCCACTGCTGGGCCGGCATGAGGCTGAGATTCGTACTGTTCCCTGATGACACTGGACAATCAAGAGGGCAGACTCCATCTTCTCTCCTGTAAGATGGGAGTAATAATTGTTTCCCTCCTCTCTCACCAGTGATCATAGGATCAAGTGACAAGATGGACACGAAAGCACTTTCTAAAAGCAAAAGCTCTGATATTTACAAGTGTAAATATAAGGACAAGGCCTTGGGAAAGATTTTCTCAGGACAGTGAGGAAGTGCCAGGGAAGTTTTTGAAAGGTTGAAAGGTTGTCTAGAGCTTAGACCAAAGGAGGCAGGGGCTGGGGGGCCAGGGGTGACAGAGAATGGTGTGCACTCACAGAAGCCCCACTCCCACGCAGCCCTTGCTTCCCAGCGGGACTGTGAGGCCCCTGAGGGGTGCCAGGCTTGGGGAAAAGGAGGTAGATGTCAGGCTGGCAGCCTAAAGTAGCAGGACTCAGAGGTTTTTGGAAAATTAGTATAATTCAGTAAAGGGTGTGGGAATGAGAACAGTGTTTGTTTGGTTTTTTTTGCCTTCTCTTTCTTGGGCAGAATGTCCCTTTCTCACCAGGTTTCCTGTTAGCCAGGGCTGGGCCTTTGGTCCCACATGCTCCCACTGCCTTCAGCCCAGGCCGGTTGCTCCACCTTTTAGGGCTTTGACTTCTCCATCTGTATGTAAAAGGTGGGCTTGAACCAGACGACCTCCTTCTGAACTTCACTGAAGCTCTTTCAGGCTGATAATGAGGACCCAGAATGTCAGTCTTCTTCTGCTTCTTAGCAGCTTATGTGACGCTAATAACAGAACTGGGGTCAAATGTCCCTTCCCCTCACCTTACCAGGAATCCTAGTACCTCAGTGTCCTAGCACAGAAGTGGAAATAACAACCCCCCACCTTGCAGAAGAGCTCAGCAACGTCATATGCCTCCCTCCCCACTCTGACCTCTCTGCATCCCTGAGGAAAAAGCAAATGTCCACTCACTCTCAGCACTTTCCTAAATTTAAATTACAATTTGAGATTATCAACATACACAAACAGAAAGTCCAAATAAAAACAAAAAAATGAAGATTATTTTTATTTAATGTCTGCTTTGATTTTCAAATAAAACCCATATTTAAAACTTTCTCTTTCTTTTGACTTGACTGGCATGTGCAAATCATTCTTAAACTCCCAGTCTCAGTTTGTAAATTCCTAGGGCCAGGAACTATGTCTTCTATGAATTTCTACATAGCAATATATTTTTTAAAGATTTATTTATTTATTTTAGGAACAGAGAAAGAGCACTAGCAGGGGGAGGGGGAAGGGCAGAGGGAGAGAGAATCCTCAAGCAGACTCCCTGCTGAGCAAGGAGGCTGATGCAGGGCTCTATCCCAGGACGCTGCCTGAGCCGAAATCAAGAGTCGGCCGCTTAACCAACTGAGCCACCCAGAGGCCCTCTCCATAGCAGTATCAACACATCCTCTACCCAGAGCAAACTATTCGGATGATGATACCAAAAGAGAGAGAGGATCAATTCTACTAAGAACTATTTTGATTGGGAGCAGCACCTTAGTGACCTCTGAGTCCAGGCTTTTGAAGAAAGGAAAACAAGATTGGTGGGAGGTCTTCTACAGTTTCCTGGGCAAAATATTAGATCTCTTTCCCCACTTTTTAAAGGCAGAGGTTGAACCAAATGACCTAAAGCTCTAAAGTTCAGGGATTCTAAGAACTGAAACAGCTTCCTCTAAGCCACAGCATGCAAGCCCTTCCTGGTTCTGGCCCCCAATTTCTGCCACAAGGAAGTCAGGGATGAGATCTTGCAAGATAGTCAGATCACCAGCTGAGGCCACACAGGGAAGCTGGCTTCTTAGCTCTGTGCACCCATCCCCCCACAGCACACCCACAGACACCTACTCCATCAAGTCATTAAGAGGAAATCTGCTCTGGGCCGTCTGGGTGGCTCAGTCAGTTAAGAGTCCGACTCTTGATTTCAGCTCAGATTATGGTCTCAGAGTTGTGAGACCGAGCCCCGTGTCAGGTTCCTTGCTCAGCAAGGAGTCTGCTTAAGATTCTCTCTCTCTCCCTCCCCCTTTGCCCCTCTCCCTTCCTGCACACGCTCACTCACTCTCAAAAAAAAAGAAAGAGGGAATCTGCTTTTTCTCAAACTCTCCTAGTGTATCAAGCAAAAATGACATAGTTTTGGCCCCAACTCAGTCACATTAGAGACATAAAGGATAACTGACTTCACATAAATCTTGTGAGTAAAGGTAATATTTTTTAAAGGAATATTTTATTCAGAAGGAATGAATGTTAAGGAAATATATCCCTATAGATGAGTTAATTTCTGTCAGGACACTTTGAAAACTGCTGAGTGCTATACAAAGGAAAACATTCATTGTACATACATATAAGCCACACATTGTACTAGGTGCTGAGATGAACAAGGCCAATCCTGCCTTCAAGGAGTTCATTGAGGTGGAGGGTGGCAGGGGGGCAGGAAAGACAAATAAGCCATACAGAGTGATAAAAGCCACACTAGAGATCTGCATAAGGCACCTAAGAGCAGGGACACAGATTAGGGACACCTGACTTGGTTTGGGGGCCAGGAAGTTTCTTGAAGGAAGACACCTAAAGGACAATTAGGAATTATCTAAGCAAAAAGAGGGTGGGTAAAAGTCATTCTAGGGAGAGGAAATGGCTTGTGCTAAGGCCCAGAAACAAGGCAAGAACAAGGGGCATCCAAGTTTTGCCAGTTGTCAGTAGGACTGGGTTGCAGACCTCAAGGGAAGCAATGAGAGAGATGGGGATGAAGAGGAAAACAGGGACCTTGAAAGGCTGTAGAAGCTACATATTATGAACTGAATGTGTACCCCCAAAATTCATATGTATTAGATGAGGGCATAAGGGTGGGAACCCCATGATGGGATTAGCGTCCTTATAAGAAGAATAAGAGAGACCAGAGCACTCTTTCTCTCTCCACCATGTGAAGACACAGTGAGAAGGCTTCCACAAGTCAGAAAGAGGGACCTCACCAGGAAACCAGATTGGCAAGCACCTTGATCTTGGACTTCCCAGCCTCCAGAACAATGAGAAATAAATCCCAGTTGTTTAAGCCTCCAGTGTATGGTACTTTGTTATGGCAGCCTGAGCTGACTAAGACACCACATTAAGGAGTCTGGAGTATTCTAAGGGTAATGTGGAGCCACTGAAGTGTTTTAAGATTTTATTTCTTTATTTGAGAGAGGGAGCATGAGCGGGGAGCAGGGCGGGACAAAGGGAGAAGGAGACTCCCCGCTGAGCAGAGAGCCCGACATGGCACTTGATCCCAGGACCCCAAGATCATGACCCAAGCCAAACGAAGACACTTCACCAACTGAGCCACCCAGGTGCCCTGCCACCCCACCACTGAAGTGTTTTAAGTAGGGAATGACTAGCTGCACTGTAGAGAATGAATTTGTGGAATAGCCTCTGGTCGTAAGAAGATGAGGCTGTTGTTGAAACCCAGGTAAGGGTAGTAAAAGTGGGAGTTGAGTGAAGGAATAGTATAGTTGAGTGAACGAATATCAATAGTCCCTTGGAACGATTCAATTTGGACATAGTAGTAAGAAAAGACAAGGATGAGCCTCACATGTTTTAAACAACATAGAAATATCCTCAGTAATATTCCTAGCAAATTATTTTCTGGCCCTTGAACCAAATTTCTTGGGTATTAGCAGATTCACCATTTCCAGCTCTGCCTAGGAGAAAGCTTTCTGATTATGAACCATAGGCACAGATCTTGTACCACTTATTGCTTTGCCCACTTCTGTTATCTCTTAGACATATGCTGGGTCCGACACACATGGGAAACTTAGGTGCCCCTCTGACAGAGTCTCACAGCTCTGCTTATACCATGTTTACCTGCCTGGCAGTCCCATGAGCCTGTAAATTCTTTGCAGGCATGCATGGGGTCATGTTTACAATTGCATCTCTCATCCTTAGCAGAGTGCCTAGGACACTGCAAAATGAATGGGTTAATAAATGAATTTTTAATTAATTTTTTAAAATATACATAATATAAACTTTATCATCTCCTAATTGAACATAATAAAAAAATTATCATCTTAACCATTTTTAAATGTACAGTTCAGTGGTATTAAGTATATTCATACTGCTGTGCAACCATCCATGCCCCAAACTCTCTTTTTCATCTTGCAAAACTGAAACTCTATTCCTATGAAACAATAACTTCCCATTTCCCGCTCCCCCTAGCTCCCTGCAACCATCATCCTACTTTCTGTCTCTATAAATCTGACTACTCCAGGTACTTCACACAGTCATATAATATTTATCTTTTCGTGACTGGCTTATTTCACTCAGCATAATGTCCTCAAGGTTCATCCTTGTTGTAGCATGTGCCAGAATTTCCTTCTTTTAAAGGCTGAATAATATTGCATTATATGTATATACCATGTTTGGTTTATCCATTCCTGTCCATGGACACTTAGGTTGCTTCTACCTTTTGGTCATTGTGAATAATGCTGCTATGAACATGCATGTATAATACCTTAAGACCCTGTTTTCCATTCTTTTGGGTGTACACCCAAAAGTATAACTGCTGGACCATATGGTCATTCTATTTTTTATTTTTTGAGGAATCATCATACTGTCTTCCACAGTAGCTGCATTCTACATTCCCCCCTCAACAGTGCACAAGGGTTCCAATCTTTCCACATTCTTACCAAC